ATAATTAGCTACCTGATTAATTACACACACAACATTGTCGTTAAAAACCTCATGAGGTTTGTTACCGCCACTGTAACGCGCTAATGTTCAACGTGACTGTCTGCATGCAATGCATTTGCACATGTATAAAATATGTTTATAGCCAAAAACAATCCAAGAAAGCATTGTAATGAGCTTGCCATTTTACCCAATTTTAAAAAGGGACTATTCCATCCAAGTTATTTTAATGGATTTCCATTTGAAAGTATTAAGAATAGTAATATCCGAACAGCAAATGCAACACAGGCTCATTGGAAAAACGCACCTGTGGCAACATTTTTGCAAAACACATACCAATACATACATATCACTGCAGTTTCCAACAGAAATGGACACTGGATGCAGTAAAACATCTGGCACTTTTAATAATTTTCACACACAATAATGATTACGCCAGTGGTGGAATGTAACAAAGTACAAATAGTAAGTTACTTTACTTTAATAAATTTTTCATGCACAGCAACCATCTGTAGTTGAGACATGTGATCCGTCACATGATACTCTTGAATGATGCCTTCGAGCAAACAACAGTACAGCATCCTCCAGCGAAGACACATATACTGTATAGAATAGCTCACTATTGAAAGCTATTGCGCCATTTAGAATTTCTGATATTTGGCATTATTGCATGAATGAAATTTAGTTCTCATTCTGTCTCTCTCTCTCTCTTTGTCTCTCGTCCCACATCACACAGAATGATTAATGGGGAGGTGTGTCAGAGGCTTTTGATTAATGTCTAGCTTCTTCCTCCACATTGTGAGGGGTAGGTTATGGCGGGGTGTGTACAGATAAGGATTATGGCTTGTTTAAAATCTGATGTCTCATTTTGAACAAAGATATTTGATAATATCAGCCCTATATCAAGACTATAGATTAAACCCTGAGATGTTTATCAGATACACACAGTAGATGTGGAGCGCGAAATATTCTATCACACGCTCAAGTAAAATATTAATTACTCTGTCTTTGTCTAATCAACATTCTGTTACTGTTATATTGACATTTTTATTTTAATGGACAATTCAGTGTCTCATTAGTAGCCACAGGTATTTGTAAATTGTAGTTGGATATACACTGTTCAATACAATCGTTAGTTGCCTTGCTCAAATCTTATCTGTTGAGCAGTGTTGTATACAATTTTTTATCTGTGATTGTATTTTCCAGATTTTGCTTTTTTTTTTTTTGTCTTTCCGACACAATCTCATGGCAATTCGTTACTATTTGACAATTTGGCAATTGTTGGCTAATTTGTATGAATTCGTACAATCTCATTTGTGCATTTTTGTACGATCTTCCTACGCCCAGTGACGGGTGTGTTTAAGGGTTGGGATAGGATTGTAATGCTTACGAACAATTCACATCATATGAATTCATCGGAAATCACCATGGCGTAACGTGCGTTTTCCTGCGAGATCAGGTTGGTTATCTGCACATTACATCTGTATGCCAGTAACATTGTCTTTGTAGGTGATGATTTGTTTAGAAGAGAAACAAGTTTAGTGAATTATTAAATTGTTCAATCAACCAATGTAATTGTAAGCATGAGTATCTATAATAATTAAAGCTGCTAGCATCATTTATCGGGGTTCAAGCATTTAATGCCTTTGAGCACAAAAGCATCAAAAGAAATTAAGTTTTATTTAGTAAGACCATTTACAGCCAATTCAAGCAATTTACTATAGGAAATATATGGTTTTCAAAGCTTTTTAACATATATAGCGCCACCTATGGTCTGATCTCCATGAAACTTTGCATGCTTCTTCTGCATGTTATGACACATTGCTCATCAATTTCTGTGTGAATTTCAAAGTGTGTTTTTCCACGCCCCTTTTCTAAATGACCCTGTTACAGCCACCCAAATTCAAAACTTCAACTTTTTTTCAATACTTATTGATCTAGAGAGAGTTGCCCTAGACTGGTTTGGTACCGATCGGGCGATTAACCGGGACTAGTTCGCAAGAGACACAATTTAACATAGCAGAACATTTCTGCTGCCTAAAGCCTAAATTTTGTCCGTCTTGAGCCAAAAGAGTCGTCTAAGTCAAATTGTCTAGGAGTTATGAGCAATTTAGTAGTTTTGTTTGCTGTAGCGCCACCTATATGCCAATCTGGGTCATACTCTGATCTCCCCAAATTGAGGCCTACCATTTGGCCCGGTTTCAAGTCTCTAGCACTTATGGTTTGGTTTGCATGATCAGTTTTACAAAGCAGGAATAGAAGAATATCAAGAATGTCCTTATCAAAATAAATTGATTTCATAAATAAGGACCTAGATAGGTAGAAACAGACAGACAGACAGACTTTTTTTCTTGAGTGACTTAATGATGGGTCAGATGAAGAGTTTGAATGACTGGAATTCCTGGAAAGGTTCCGGCATTGTCTCGCCTCTCTACAGCTGTCAGCGGTTGTTACGGTAACAGTAGGCCATTGAACCGGAGTTAACTAAAACTGAAGGAGCCCTGGTGTGTATGTGTGTCACATGTAATGCAAGTGCATCACCTTTTATACTATTGAATTTCACCACGTTTAACCTACCCATGATTGCATTTTAATGTGATTAACATCTATTATCCTGATGGTGTAAACCTTTAGTCAGGTCTCTATCTCTCCGCATTTTTCTCGTCTCTGAATCTCCCAGTGAGTGCTCTGAAGCAGCGGTGGGCTGTGTAACGAACTGTAGGCTGAATTGATTGAAAAATTGATTTCCTTTTTTCATCCAGTTGAGAAGCAGCTTTAATTTATTTAAAAACGGCATGTAATTACACCTGCGTTCGGAGGACGTGTCGCTGTGTATGCGTGTTTTTTTTTTTTGTATTTGTGTGTGAAAGAGGGACTGTGGACTGAACACAAACAGGCTATTGTTATTTCCAATTTTCCAATAGCCTTTCCTCACTTATTCAAGAGTCGACTTCACATAAGCACATATGAAAAGCCATTAATGTAAGGAACTCTGTCCTGAATCGTTATTTCACTTTTTATTGTAGTATCATTCCCAAATGGATAATTTATTCCCAGCACATGCAGAATCTCACATTAAAAAAAAATCTGTTTAATTGGGTGTAGTGAACCCTGTAGAGTCCTGAATTATTAATAATACTAAAAATAGTGAATATTGAATATTAACACCCTAGGGACCGAGGTGTATTTGGGGTCCTTGAGATGTTCTGACATGCCCTGACATTTGTGCTTTTTTCAGTTGCTTATAAACATATTAATGGCACAGGTTAAATTACACTATATTTAGCACAAACAGGGCTACCATAATATGTGAGCAACATGTATGTAAATGTTTGTATTTTTGAGAGAATATTGTTTATGCATGGTTATTGAAAAAAAACTAAAAATGAAAATTCCTGAAATAAGGCAACAAAACACATACGAAATATGCATCCACAAGACTTTTGACTAATGGATGTTGTTGCCTAGAGTTTTTTCTTCACAATGATCTGAAAATCATCCTACCTAATCTTTCACATAAAACTGTGAATTGGGTTATATTGTGAAAAACATTTTTTGTTTGCCAAATTAATATGCGAATGGGCATGAACAGGCCAGCCCTCATCATGTATAATTAGGTTATTCTCACCTGAAAGAGACAAAGACACGCATAATAATGAGTTTTATTTTTAAAGTATGCCATTTACATTTTATAATACATATTTCAAAGTTAAGGATTCATTGTTTTGATATGTGCATTGCATTAGCTTGCATTGGATAACAGTTGATTGTTTATTTTTGACAAAACATACTATTTATTTAACATATGAGCAGAGACTGTCTACCTAAAGCTTATTTGATGTCTATTTTATAGTAAAAACTTTACAATCTATTTCAGAAGGCTATGCATCTGTACGTCCGTTCGTTCACACACCCGATTCATATTTAAACAGTCCTTTTGGTTTATAGATCTGTATAGAACAAATCTGAGTAGTCTATATAGTCTTGCTAATGTAAGTGAATGAACGCACAGCGCGCATTTAATATTTAAACAGTCTTTGTGCAGTTTACAGAAACTATTCAATAACGTGATTAGAACAAAGCACGTCATAAAGGAGATTTAAAGGCACATCACTCTTCTAAACTGTAAAATTTAACAAACACAACCCAGTGATACAGAACATAGAAATATTTAACAGCCTTTAAGGCATGAATAGTCCTCACTTTAGATGAGCTTACGAACGTAGTTAACTGACCACTACTAAATGCTTTATAACTATACCAAATTAACCCTGAATTACAGCATAAATACATGTTAATAAACCAATTTATTAACACACTAAGTAACCATCACTATATATCTGAATAATAAGATGTATTAATGTACAATTAAATAGTTTATTAACCATTTACTTACATGTTCTGAGTAATCTTATGAACCACTGAAAACTCTTAAATAACTGGCTTATAAAAAATGCAATTCTTCATTTAGAAATGATAAATTGATCATTAATAAAGGATGAAAATACAATTATTAAACAAATTATACACTGTTAAAATTTTCGTTGTGAATTTACAGTAAATAATTGGATAAATTTTGCATTACTTTCACAGTAAGGATTACAGTAATATAATGTGAAATATGCTCACAGCAATTTACTGTAATTTTATATCTGTGATATTACAGTACATTACTGGGGAATTACAATATATATATATAGAGTTTAGATGCAAAAGCCTCTAAATGCCATTTGAAATTTTCTTCTTTAATAATGATTTTTATCAAACTTTTATATTTAAGTTCAGTAATTTCACCTAAATAACAATTAATAGATAAATATCATTGCCATTAAAGTGAAATTACTGAACTTAAATATACAAGCTTGATAAAAATGATCATTCTAGAAGAAAATTTCAAATGGCACTTAGAGGCTTTTGCATCTGAACAATTCATATAAACACACACACACACAATGTAACCCCCCCCCCCCCCCCCCCCAACAACAAACAACTCTGAGGTTAAGTCAATGTTAGCCCAATGGCATATTTATTAACACATATGTTTCAATGTACAGCAAGAATTTAAGAAATTAATTTTTTTTAGAATTTCAACTTTAAGATTGTTTTCATAAAAGCCATTTTAAAATGCAGAAAATGCAGAGACATTGTGCAAACTTTTAACTGTGGAGCCTGACAAGTAACGTTACCACTGCTAAAAAACACTATGACGCCCACTCAAAGTCAATTAGTTTCCTCAATAGGGTGCTAATATGAGGGTTCATTGTGGTCCTCTTCTTGGTCTTCGATCCTTTTTCGGGATTGATGCCCAGGAAGCACCTGTTAATAAGCAAAGATAGTTTCAGTTCTTAACACTTTTCACTCGTGTTTGTTGTTCTAACCGAATCCTGGTCCAACGCACAAGGTGTGCACGGATCTACACTTCGGATTCTGACCGGGAATAGTAACGTTAGACCACCCGATAATCTTTGAAACACTTATTTCAACGTGCGATTTGGGACGTAAGTTACTAATTCTGTTTTCGAATACTATTTAGGACGGTTAGTATGTGAATTGGGACGCAGAAATGTATTAACTTAAACAGCTAACGGTTAACCCTGCTAATCTATGATAACATTGACTAAGTACAGAAATGTGCACACATAAATAGTAATGTTTGTCCCATCACTGATTTTATAAACTCTACAAAAACCAGATTTGTCTAAACGGTGATAGACATGAAAATAGCAAAACTCGATCGTCATTAACTATTAGTATGCTGTGAGAACTTTCAACAATTCCGGGCAGCTGCTAACAAAATGTGAACTGTGTCATGCGATAAACGTTTATTTGAAAGTAAATATTATCATATTAAAATAAAATGGGTGTAAGTGCTGCAAACATGCATGCTTACCTTCTCCGTTAAGCCCGAAATAGAAGAGGCGGCGGGAGACGACGGAGCCTGCAACAGTTCGGTTATGTCACATGACTTCCCAGGGCATAGGCTACAGTATTTCACTGCAATAATACTGTTTGCTGCTGTGAAATCCTTATTTTTTTTCACTGTGTTGCTGTGATATTACAGACCTTGCTGTGACATAACAGCAGGTTTTAAATTGCAATGTTTTATTGTAAAATAAGAGTTAAATGCTGTAAAATCCAAGGATATTGTAGTTTTTACAGGTATTCATTGGGATATTACAGGGAAATGTAATCACAACAAGTTACTGTGAAATAATACTGTTAATTATTGTGAAATGCTGGTAATTTTTAACAGTGTAGATAAGCTTTTAAATAAAGAAGAAAGCATGTATAGCTGTATTTATAAACAGCATATTAGTTTCTATTAATGCTTTATGAATGATGAATTAACTTAACTAATGATTATTAATGTGTAGTTATTATAAAGTGTTACCTCATGTATTGATTTTATTTATATGACCATTAATGACGGAGTATTTTAAGTCTATGTTGCAGCTATGTGGAAAAAAACAAAACAATCAAAATGCCTTTGGGGATGCGTTTTTGGTCCCCAGGTGGTTAACACGTGACAATAAATAAACATTTATTTTAACATAATTAATAATATTATTTAATATAATTAATAGGCTCTGTAGGCATATAATTCACATATAATTTCAATAATATTGTTCTCTAGATTTATTTATTTATTTATTTTCATTGTTTTTTTTGTTTTGTTTTTTTTAATTTAATTTAATTTTATTTGGTTTATCATTAACAAATATACAATAACAAATATTCAACTCAACATAAACATGACTTTTGATTAAACCAAAGGGTATAGGCTGAAGCTCGAGGCTTATTGACGCCTATCCCTCTCAGATTAAGCCTAATTGAGGCTCTTTTACATATATATATATATATATATATATATCACCACTTTTAATTTTTTTGGATTTACAGTTTGAGTCAACATACATTGACACTATTATGTATCAGTATATTTTGTTTCTCTTTTTGGTTAGTAGCAAACAATCTCAAATATTAACCTATTAACCATCATTGCTTGGCATTCTGACTGAATACCTCACAGTTTGAAACTTCAAAATCTAGGCCAGCAACGGTTGGATGTATTTCCTGATGTAGGCCTATTTTCCAGCATAAACCACTGCTTTCCAAAGTGTAAGGAGTCAATTTAAATTGTGCATGGTATTGACTTGTCATTGACCCGTGTTAAGACCTCTCATTAAGCTGTAATTAAGCTTGTATTGACAAACTCTATGAGATTAAAGCACCACTGTGCTCTGTTTGTGATTGCAGTCATGTGAACAAACAACACCCTGATTGGCCAAATACAAAGTTACACAAGTGTGTGTGTGTGTGTTTAGATAGGCCTGTCCTTACCGATCAATGGAATTTTCTTAACTCGCACACGCTGCCATAATAACCCTAATTAAAATCTGACATCTTTTACATGTAACATTCCCAACAAATACTTTTCCATCCATGCTCCAAACGAGCTGTGTTCCATTTTAAGTTTGGCTTTAATCTCAAACATTAAACTGTCAAGGATTTAGGGTAATTATACATGCTAATTTAGTTTGCTCAGTTCGGCTCTGCATGCCGCGGACCCTCTTTAGACATTGCCGCCTGCCTCAAATATTAACTCAAATCTTCCCTGCACTTCTCTAATTGGTTAATATTACCATTGTAAATGCTGTAATACTCTTTTCATGCATTTTAATATTGATTAGATTAGTACAACTCCTTGTTAGAAGGGAAACAGGCACTGTTTTGTTCATGTAAATGTAAGTAAATGACTTCCTGTGAGTGCCGTTTCAAGGTTAAACATAAATAGTGTTGAAAATATGTCAATTAAATACTTTGTGTGTGGGTGTAAAAGACACACTAATAATAATTCATTTCATATCATTTCACAGGTTTTAAACATGATTATTAATCAGTGCTTTGAAAGTCAATACTGAGTGCTCTGAAAGTCAAATCCTGCATGTAAATCACCACGAGTTTGACTGATGAGAATTAGCATTTATGGATAAATATTTAAATATTTTGAGTCATGATATTACCGTGATCACAATGAGGGAATAAAATCACACATTATCAAAACATGTAAACATTTAAAATTGAATTATCTGTGTACATATTCTAGTAGTGGAACGTTAACCTAAAAAAAAACTAATTTAATAAAAATAAATCTTAGTAGTGGTCTCAGAATTTTGGACCTTTCTGTATGTCAACGGCATACGCACAGTATATTAATCTTTGAACTGATGTATAACTATAGTTTGGTCCAAACCAATGTGCAAGCTGCGACCTCTGACCTTTGAGTTTGCACTCGTATATATATATGTGTGTGCGTGTGCATGTGCATGCATGCTCATGGGTCCCATGCGCCTCTTTCAATATTGATTCAAAGGCGATTGATTGAGCTAATGACTATTTACCAAGAGATATTAGTGTCCCTCTTCTCGGCCTACAGCTCTTGCTTCCCCTCTCTGCCTCTTCTCACTTCCATTTGGAGGTGTGTAATTTTTGAGAGTGTAATTAAGTGTGTGTGCAGATGGGACCGAGAGAGGGAAAGAGAGAGAAAAACAGCTCCAGTTCACAATATGTACAGCACTAATCCAGCTTTTATTACTGAAGAAAAGAATAACAAATATGAATGAATAAACCAAAGAAACTGCATTAACTTCTAATATTAAATGTTTAATTTAATATCAGATTAAATGTGGAATTTTTTCATATAAAACAAATTATGAATCAAATGAACTATACATATTTTAAACGAATTATCACAATAAAATAATTGTTTGTAATTATAAATGACAATTTAATGAAGTTATAAAGTATTCTTCAAAAATAATTTAATAAAGTAAATTAATTTAAATTAATATATTATTATTTGTAAATAAATCAGGTTGTACTAATATATATATATATATATATATATATATACACTGTACACTATATATAATTATTTGTATATATATTATTTAATATATTATTATTTGTAAATAAATCAAGTTGTACTTATATAGATAGATAGATAGATAGATAGATAGATAGATAGATAGATAGATAGATAGATAGATAGATAGATAGATAGATAGATAGATAGATAGATAGATAGATAGATAGATAGATAGATGTGTGTGTGTGTGTGTGTGTGTGTGTATATATATATATATATATATATATATATATATACACATATACACTGTACACTCTATACATACATATGTATGCTCCACACAGACATCTTATCTCACTATATAAAACAAATAATATGTTGTCTTACAAATAATTGTAATAAATATAATTAAATTAATCAATATCACACAAATACATGGCAGAATAATTTTATCCCAAATAAGATTTCTTTTAAGCGTAGTTGTGCAAAGTCAATTGTTTTATTTGTGATAACACAATGAAACATGCCAAATAGCCAGGCTATCATTTCAAGAAATACTAAACACAAAAAATGCCAAAAACAAGAGTGAATCAACAATATATTAATAACTTAATATGATAGCATAACACACACACAAACACACAGTATATACAATATTTTCCTCATATTTTGATGGTTTCCTAATATTTTGACACTTGTAGGACCGTTAAATGTGCCAAAGTGTGTGTGTGTGTGTGTCTATAGCACAGAAGCTGTCACAACAACTAGCCTACATGTGAAATGGATTTGAACCCAGGATCCCCCCAGTAAATGTCTGTACATCCTCATGAATATGTTGCATGCTGATGATGCCATGTCCTACTGACCCCTGCCACATTACACCCCTGGGGAAAATATAGTGTGTGTGCGTGTGTGTATGAGGTCAGTGACTCCCTTTAAGTCTGTCTGCATTGAGCTTGTGGGCCCAGCGGCAAAGAACCATACCTTATTGAAACACAAATACGCTCTCACATTTCATTTCTCCTTGTTCTGCAGCAATGCATATTTGTTGAGTGTCTGACTTGGTGTTTGTAAGAGAGAGGGGAAGTAGACTGGATAATGATTGATATATGTGGAGAAAGAGAGTCGTACACTATTGATGAGATTTTATTGAGAGTTTATTGCATCCCTAAGCAGGCGTCTTATGGATTCAGACTGTTGTTTGTGGATGGTCTTTGCCTCATGTTGGAGTATTTCAGATGAGATTGATGTGTTTGTGAATGTTGTTTGAATGCATTTGTTGGAATCCACCTGACAACCTAATTTCCCACAATTTAAATGTACAATTTCTCAAACCATTGTTGTCTGTCAGTCATATAATGGAGGTCTATGGTCACCACCTCAAAGAGCATGCAAAGAGAAGTCCAAATTAAACATGATTTAATGACTCGTAAATGTAAGTACACATTGATGGCCTAAGACACGAAACGAGCGGTTTGTGTGAGAAAACGCACAGTATATATATATCGTTTTTACCTCTTGTAACTACAGTCACGTCCAAGTGATCTGAGGGCGTGGGCACTTTGTGGCTGTGGTTACAAGAGGTAAAAACGATCTAAAATACTGTTGGTTTTCTCACACAAACTGCTCGTTTCGTGTCTTAGGCCATCAATGTGTACTTACATTTACGAGTCATTAAATCATGTTTAATTTGGACTTCTCTGTGCATGCTCTTTGAGGTGGTGACCATAGACCTCCATTATATGACTGACAGACATGAACGGTTTGACCTAAAAATATCAAAATTGAAAATACTGTGGAAACAAAGACACCTACATCTTGGAAAGCTAAAACATAACAAAAATTTTATTTCAAAGTGAACTATCCCTTTAAAACTACTTTACGAAACACAAGAAAAGTACTAAAGTAGTATTTGAAATATTATGGTGTATATATTATGACACTTGCTGTGAAATGGTTCCTGTGTTCCTAGTAGAATATCACATGGCTGGAAAAGTCTCTCAGCCAATCAGCATCGAGAACCAGAACAAACGAACTTTTGTATTAACATACTGTGTAGTATACACAATATAAGTGTTTTGATTGTTGGACATTTCTCTGCAGAATCATGGGTGTTTTCATTAGAAATTATATGATTAAAGACAATTATTTAAAAATAAGTTTAAATCATGCAGGCTTTTTAGCTGAAGCATATATATATATAAGATCGATTAACATCATGTTAGCTCACAGATTTATTAGTTATCCTTCAAAATCTTTGGATTTTTACTTCCAGAACCAGACTGTTGGACTCTTTTTATCCTATGCGAGACTCATGCAAGTGTCATATAATGCATGAAGTCAGAAATCTCACCTGAAATCGTGCAGATATTCACATCTCACAAACATGTTT